GCCTTTTTAAAAATTAAATCTCTTGCTTATTCACTCATTCACATTAAAGTAGTCTGCATTAAACTTTTTAGGGGTGCAGCAAAGTAGACAAGTTTTCCCTCATCAAATTTACAGGCTAGTGAATCCATAGCCAAATTGAAAGTGAAATATAATTCGTGGGAGCATGGAAGAGGGGCCTCACACTTCAGAGGTATATAGCAGGAGATGATTTGACATCTAAGCTGTGCAAAGACATGGACATGAAGGATAATACAGTATGCTTTATGAACCGCCAGAAGGGCACGATAGCTAGACAACAGAGAATGTGTGAGTGTCATGTGCAGAGATGGTAGAAGAGATAAAGTTAGACATCCTAAAAGACTTTTAACCTTATTCTGAGATCTTTGGGGAGCCATTTGAGAGTTTCATGCTTCAGCAATGAAATTGTTATTTTACATTATTTAAAGTTTCATTCTTGTTACTTAATGTGTGAAAATGGTACATTAGGAGAGTGAATATAGAAGTTGGGATGCTGAAGAGGCCTGCTTTTATTGGAAGAATAGACAGGAAGCCGTTGCACTGATCCACAGGAAGAGATAATGGTGCCCTGTAGTTGTACTAGGTAGTACCATTGGGGATGAAAAAAAATGAATAGATTATAAAGGCATTTGTACTTCAATTTATAAGCCTTAATGAAATAACAAATGTAAGTACCAGTTATCGATTTCTATCTACTGTCTAGTTGTCTGCTTCATCTTCATACTTCCGACTTACTCATTTCATAAGGTAGTCTTTGTGTTGACTTTACTATACAGTGACTTTTATAATAAATAAACACAGTAAGGCAATTCCCACTAAAAGTTACCCTATCCAGGGTTTCTGAGAGTAGTATGGGAGCAGAGAGTCTCAGTTTTCTCTCATGGTGCCGCTGGAAGTTTGAACTGCAGATCTTGAGGTTACTAGTTAGTTCTTATCCCACAGCATCACCCAGGCTACACACACACACACACACACACACACACACACACACAC